CCACATGTGGAGTCAGAGCGCCTCAACGATCACTACCATGTCCAAAGTGCTGCGCCTGCTACGAAATATGCACTTCGAAGTAAAACCACTCCGATCCCTTGCGCCTGTAAACTGGCCACGTCTGAGTCCAGCTCCGAAAAGATCTTTCCCATACTACATTTGCACTACAAACTGGCCACTTCTGAGCCCAGCTCCAGAGAGTGAAGCGCCAAGTCTCCAAAACGAGCGTTTCGTACGAGACTTCCTCCACAAGTCACGCGTCAAAGTCTCCAAAATGAGCGTTTCGTACGAGACTTCCTGCACGCCAAGTCTCCAAAACGAGCACTTCGTACGAGGTTTCTTCCAAAAGTGATGCGCCACGTCTCCAAAACGAGCGTTTCGCAGGAAGCCAGTGAAGCGCCAAATCTCCAAAACGAGCGCTTCGTACGAGACTTCCTCCAAAAGTTACGCGTCGACACGCACCCTCCCCGCAGGGGTTTGCTCGGACACAAACGCGATCGACGTTTCACCACACGTTTGATGATTCGACACGCAGAGGGCCACCCGCGCCCACAAAAAATTCGCATTTCACCTCACGTTTGAGCACTCAACACTCGACACACGCGATCCCCGCAGAGGGTCACCCGCGCACAAACCAAATTCACATTTCACCACACGTTTGAGCACTCGACACGCACGATCCTCGCAGAGGGTCGTTCCAGGTCAAACGCGATCGACGTTTCACCACACGTTTGAGCATTCGACGCGGACGATCCTCGCAGAGGGTCACGTTTCGTGAGCGACGATGATGATAGTAGCGATGACAATAAAGCTTATTGTTGAAAATGATGTGAGCAAATGTCCTTTGGAAGAAACCCTTCGCAGGTGTTTTCGGGAAAAATTGGTGAGCAAAGTTTGTTTCACACAGAAACAAAAGGTTTTCAGCGCAAGGATCAACAAAGAGTACCAGCAAAAAGAAGCATGGACAAGTGAGCCTGATTGAACCTATCTGATCTAACCTGTCGTGTTTGTGTTCGCCGCCCATTATTTCGACTATTTCTTTACGTATTGTTCTCGTTTGGTTTTGGGGGGGAGGGCGCAGGCCCCCCAACCCCCCCCCGTTGTCCTATATTTTGGGTTGCCCCGCTCGCATATTTATTGGGGGGTGAGGAGTAAGTTCCCCAAAGTGGCAGCAGAAGAGACTGGACCTGATCGAAAACACCATCTCTCAATGCAAGTGTGCGCGCGTGTGCGGTGCGCGCGACGACGAACACACCTTTCTCTATGCACGGAGCGCGGCATTGAGCTTTAAAGTCTTGAACCTTGAGCCAAATCGATTAAGCGGCAGCTGACTGAAGAAAACGACCTACAAACTAACTACGAACAACAGGCGCTACACACGTATCACCTCACGTGTTTCACGTGTTTCCAAGTGTGTCCACAACCCCCATCTCATCGTGCATCTACCATCAAAGTCAAGATCAGCCGAGGGTAGCTTTGTTTATCTTTTTGAATTGGTGTATTCCAAAGGGGGGACAGTCAAACATAGCAACTAATATAAGTTGCACTTCGTTTGTTTTAAGTAAAAACTGAAACTCGTTAAAACAAATGCATTAAGTGAAACACAATGTAACTTAAATGACCATAAATGACGAAAACGTGATTGCATGGTTGCAAAAAAAAACGTGTTGACCAGTATAACTCCTACCTCATGTGCCTCCTGAATGTTTTCAGTCAACTTTTCTCAGACACATGTATCAGGACTTGTGCAACAAGCAGCCAATCTCATAGTTGGCACACTTCCTAACTCATTTGGCGGGAGCATAATAGACAATTTAAGCCAAAGTAATTTAAGTTATAAGTATATAAATATGTATAAAGAGTTTAAAAAACGTGTTGCACCTGTCACGTGATGGTTGTTAGATTTTTTGGGGAAATTGTGAGTTACGCTGATGCGTCTGCGTCAGTCAACGTCGCGTCATTCAAACGATGTGTTACTTCCTTCATTTCATGCCACTTCACTCCATTCATTCCGGTCAACCCTTTTTAATATTTTTTCATGTCAGGTCATTTCATGTCACTTCACGTCATTTCATTTAACTTCATTTCGTTTATTCCTTCATTCAATCGTTTACTCCTTCGTTCGTTCCCTCCTTCTTTTGTTCCTTCGTTTGTTCGTTCGGTCAGTCAATCAGTCAGTCAGTCGGTCGGTCGGTCGGTCAGTCAGTCAGTCAGTCAGTCAGTCGGTCGGTCAGCCAGTCAGTCAGTCAGTCGGTCGGTTGGTCGGTCAGCCATTCCTTCATTAAGCCTTAAAAATTGTCATGTCACTTCATTTCATTTCTTGACCAAACTTAGAACTTGCTGTTTTCCACAAGCCCTCATGGGCGATCAAAAAGCCATCAAAAGCCTAAACGGCTTATATTCCGAACCACAAACAAATTGACGAGCCAACTGCAAGAATATGCATAATGCAACGCATCATTTGGCGGGTTTATGTCCAAAGCCGTCCTCTTCTTGCTGCTTCCCGAGCCCAGGAAGGACTCAATCAACCCCGTTCCCAGCATCATTTTGTGTGGCATTGCCAATGAACTGTGGCGGACAATACACATCAAGTAGGAGACCAACCCGTGGTTTTGCCACAGACCACATAAAAACAAAAATGCAAAACATGTCACCGCCAGAGGCCCTCCTTTACTGTGGATGTTATCCCTGGGATTATTGGATCTGTTATGGTCTGTTCATTGAAAATGGTTTGGGCAGCATATGGGTACCCCGCAACATTCGTGCAGTATTCCTAATTGTTCGATAATAGGGTCTTGATTATAATCTCATGGTTGGTCCTGGCATGTAATTCATGGAGGCTTCAACAAACGCATCAGGGCAACTCAACAACAACATCTCGCTGGAGTTTTGCCAGCTTAAGCACGTCGCAAGTCATGAACGAGGTACGCCCGCAACATCACATGGAACAGTCAAACGCAAGCCACGGCCAAAAGAGTTGTCTTTGCAGTAGGGTTGGCCAAAGCATCGGCTGCAGGACCCTAGTCAGCACCCGCCCAAGTGTGGTTGCTGATGGCGGATGCGGCGACCTGCGGTGTTGATTGCGGTACTCGGCGCTACACAACCAAATGGTGCTCCTTTGAAACTATTGGATTGTCGGCGGCAGTTGTGAACATAGATGTCTCATTGTGTTTCTTTTTGTTGCGTTAAAAACAAAAGTTCAATCAACCATAAAACATCATAAAACACCAAAATGTTAGCTGGAAGTGGTCAGGTGGCTCATGAACCTGGGTTCACCCAGCGTCGGACCCGAAAATGCCAGAGATCACTATGACAACCAAAATCCTTGTAGCACGCACTTTGCGGCTAGTTGTTGTTGGTCCTGTATTGTTTTCAAGTGTTGTCAACGCGAGGCTGCTTGCGAAATTGGCCCTCTGCGCCCCCCAGGGTCAAAGATACACCAATTCGATCCCTTGCAACGATGAAGTCAAGACCCAAATCCTCCTCGTCCACGGTGGAGACGTGAGGTTCTAAAAGGCCCAGTTCATTTCCTCCACCTCCACCTCCTCCACCTCCTCCACCTCCCAGCTCCTGGCCTCAGTTGTTTCTTGTTGTTGTTGTTGTTGTTGTTTTCAGTGCATATGGTGGCACAAATTCCTTCTCCCAGTTCCGTTTCACAATTCCTCTCGCCCAGTTCCCTTCCTCTTGCCCCAGATTCCCTCTCTTTGTTTGGTTCCCGCTGAGCTCCCCAATTCCCTTGCCCCAGTTTTCTTCTCCCAGTTTCCCTTCCCTCTCCCCTTACCCTGCTTCCTTTTTCCTAGTTCCCGTTGTCCAGCTGCTCCACTTCCTTTTTCCTAGTTCTTTTGCCCCAGTTTCACGCACAATTCCCTTCACTCAGTTCTCTTGCCCCAGTGGCCCAGTCTTTGATTCCCTTTTTTCCCTGTACTTCTGTTCTTGGTTGTGTATTTGTTTGTTGTGCGTGTCGGCGTGTGTTTTCTCTTACGACTCTTACCTCTCTCTGTTTGTTTGTCACGGGTGTCATTTCTTTCCTTGCGTCCTGCTGTTTGTTGTCTATGTCAGCTTTCCCGAATCGCAAAGGTTGCTGGGCTAGGATAATATGGCCTGAGTTGCCAAGCATGGCCAAGCCGTCCCAACCCAACCCCTCGCCTCCTGCAGTCCAGCTTTGGGAACCCAAGGTCAAGTGACAAATGAGGCAAAACAATACATGCGGAGATGTGCGTGGCGCAGGGGCTTGCGGCTGGGAACGTGAGACGGGTGTGAAGGCAACGGGGTCAGGAGCCAACATCACCAAAAGTGTCCAACAGAAAGCGAATGCACGAACTTCAAGTCAAGTCTGAATCATGCTTGACCTCAGTCCAACACAGGGTGGACTCCGTTGCACACCAACTTCTGCTGAATCTGGCCAGAGCAAGCACTAGAACTTCCGCGGGAGTCAACAAGCATCCAACCGAACCTGCGCTTTTGGGAAATCTCAGGTCCAAAGGGAAGGACACAACACGCCATCGGAAAGAGTTTGGAAGTCTGGCCTGGCTGAAACAAAAATCGAAGGCTGGCAACGATTTCAAAGAGTCCCAGCTCTTACCGTCTTCCCTGCAAGCGGACGGAATCCGGGTTGGACTCAACCCCCACAAGGTGGAGGAAGCCCCGCAGGTCCTTGCACCAGTTCCTTGCAAACTGGGCTGTTTTCTCATTGCGACCCTGAACAGGGTGCTGCGCCTGGCGATTAAACTCCCTGGTTGGCAGAAGATCAAGCCCACCATGCATTGCTGTCAAGGCCGAAGCGTGGTTTTGAAGCACACAGAGGATGTGAATTCGGCACGATTGATAATGCTGAAATCCACACTAAAACGTGCTTGCTCTTTTCATGCCAGGTGGGCAAAAGCATCCGCGCGGTCCGCAGGGGACAGCAAAAGCCTCTACATGACTTCGTCATGGCCACACAGGGCCTCGGACATGAAAGACCTCGTGTTTGGAGCTTGCGTGGCGCACAGCGCATCTCCTTTCTCTCTGGCTTCTTTCGCAGCCCACCATGTGGGCAGGGTGCACTAACGGTCTGCGCACATTGGCGCACGGTGAAACACCTTGAAACGGCTCTTCCGCCTGTTGGCATCGCTTCGGCCACCTGTCTAGCCAAACCTGTTGGCCAAAAACGAACGAAAAGCAAAAAAGGACCCTCCGCCTTGGTTACACCTGTTTCGCCGCCTTGGACGGTTGCAGGCCGATCCCTATGATGGCTTTCCGATCCTTGGGCATCTTCCGCATCATGGTCATGAACTCCTCGAAGTCGATTCGACCTGCCGGGCGCCGGTGACGTGGAAAACGGCAAAACCAGGAAGGAGGAAAGGGAAGAGAGGAAACGAAGAGAATGTCCAATGTTTTTAGTGGTTGTTTTCACTTCTATATGCTCTTATTCTGGTCAGATTCTGGTTCTGGGGTTCTGGTTCTGAACCCGTCTAGGCCCAAAGCTACCTGTTGATACCTGTTGAACGAAAGAGGCCCTACGGCAGCAAGGGAATCGAACTTTCGAGTGATGTTGGACTGCTAAGTCTCGGTCCTAATTACGAATTCTTACCAATTCCTCCACAAAAAAACACAAAAATCCTCCACTTCTTGAGCGAAACACTTCGCTCACCACGAAAGAAGACTGCGCAGCCGTCGCGCAGCGGTGGGCGACCGGTCCGGATCCACCCCGCCGGTCTCGGTCGACCGCGCGGATCGCTCGCTCGCTCGCTCGCCGGTCGGGTCGTGGGCACCGTCACCGTTGAGGTCCACCTCCTTCATGATGTCATCCACCTCTTTGGCCGTGTACCTGGGAGCCGGTGGCACCCACAAACAGAGCTCCCCTCCCCCCCACACAACCAAGACTGTAGCTATCTGTAGATCCATTTCCCGAAAACTCACTTCGAAACTATGAAAGCTTTAGTGGTCAAAACATGCATGAAGACTTCGACAATCGCTACAGAAAAACGAGGCAAGGAGCTTGATCTGCATTACGTCACTCACCAAGGTGTTTCCTGGCCATTTCGGAGCAGACGAAGCTCCAAACAACTTGCAAAGCCAGCACACATCTGTAGGTCCTTCTACCTCAAAATAAATGAAACATGAACCCGCTTCAGAAATGTCTCTGAAATTGCTCCCTATTTCTATCTACTTAGACTTCAACTCTGACCCCTCGAGATCTAGAATCTAGACGTGAACTTGCCCTGTTCAGTCAGTTCCACAAGACTTTATCTTTTGGCATGACATGTCTCTTTCAAAGACCTGCCATTGAAGAGTGTGGCTTCATTGCCCGTCACCCGGAGGAGAGCTATATAATAATAGGCTATATAGTATCATGGCATCATTGGCATCATTGCGTGGACGAAAGAAATCCGGGACAGAAGACATGCAAGGTATCATGAAGCCACTCAGAAAGGCAACACTTTCTTTCCGATCCAAAAACTAGAGTAAACAAACTCTTGTTCTTCGGTCTCGGGACGAATCAGCATGCATTATTTCAGGCTCCGATTTTTGAGACAAGCCACCACCCAGCAGTTTCATCAGCTCCTGTGAAAGCTGCCACGCTGAGAAACTGCGCAGCGACGAGCAAAGACTTGTTGGAGAGTGGGGTGGCGTATTGACGCGTTTGTTGTCTTGGAAAGGTGACCTGCCAGGAGGGGGTGGCTTGTCGTCTGGGCTGATCAGGACTTTGCACCACAATCCTTCGGGCCAAGGGGCCATCGATGTGTCCGGGGCGATGACGTTGAGCGCCACGGCGGCCAAGGGGCTCCACCAACGACTCGACCCATGAGACAATCAAAGGTCAGCGAAAAAACAAAATGACGATGGCCTCCAAACCCAATAGCGATGGCCTCCAAGCTAATAGCGATGGTCCACCCGAGCGGCGATGGCCTCCAACTATTAGCTATACTTACTGGATCGGTCTCCTCCTTGTCGATGTGGCCACTGCCATCTTGGTCAAACGTCTTGAAGGCGCGCCAGCAGGCATCCTGGCCGGGACGCCAAACCCAGACGAGACCAGCCCCAAAAAACAATTTATATATATATATAGTGATTATATAATGCAAACACAGTATACAATGCTATATTAGAATACTATTATATATATATAATGTAATATAGTACCTCTTTATTCTATATATATCATTTTACGATATACATATCACCAGGATCTAATGATAGGAGCTTGCAAAACGACCTCGAAGGTCTCGTACCAAGGCGACGATGCAGCGTCAGTGGCTGACAGTCTCTCTTCTCCACAAACCCCAAAAAGACCCCAGCGTTCGCTCATCTGCATGCTTCCAACGTGACTGCTGACCCTTTCCACCAGCGACCAACGCGTGGAGACAACGCCGTGCACAACATCCTCAGCCACCCCATCCGAAGCCATCCTCGGCCACCCACTGACGCTTGTCCAAGGTGGCTGCCATGAACTCCGAGTAGTCAATGACCCCGCTGCCATCGGTGTCGATCCTGACCAGACAGCCCCCAGAGACGCTCCGAAACGGTTTAAGAGCCAACTGGATGTTGTTTTTCTGAGTTTGCCACGCTGCTGCAAAAAGGGTTTCCTGGCATATGAGCAAACCCAATCCATCAGCGCCTCTCCATCATTGCCGCCAAATCTGCTGGCACTGCCACCCCAGCCTGGCAATGAACAGGGGAAGTCTTGTGGTTCCTCAGCATTTGAAAGCTGGACAGTTGGGGTCATTCCCTAAGTGACTGCTTTGTTCCCACCAACCACCAATCGAGGTGTCACAGCGAAAACATTGTAGGTTCGATGGAATGAAAATGAAATTGTAGCGAGTTCCCCGAAAAACCTGCCAAGCATGAAAAATTATGGAGAACAAGGTGGACACCGCAAGCAACCATTCCTTTGTGTTTGACAATCATGGGTCAGTGGATGAGCGAGCTCCACCCCCACGCACGACAAGATACGACAGGAAGGGCCTTGAAAGAACCGTTCTCACAGCATCGTGCCTTGGTGAGGCCCTCCTTGAGCTCAGCCACACTCAAAGTGCCATCATTGTTGTCGTCCATGGCCATAAACAGCTCCTCACATTGTTTTGATTCGGCTTTGATCATGAAAACTGGTAGGGAAAAGTCTGCGAATGATGCTTCACTAGTTGTCATTAATTTTGGGGAACACTGCAGGTACGAAGACATGATTTTGCAATGACATCAGTTTTACAAATGGTTCATAGGGTGGATGCATGGCGTAATTCTCACCCTATGTTTCTCACCCTATGTTTATGTTTTTCCCAGCACAGCCCCCAAACAGCTTAGTTATCTTAGTTGGCGGCGGCTGCAAGCCCCTGCATCGGAAACCAACGTAAACAGCACGACAGCAGCAGGACAACAGAAAGACCAGAGGAGGACATGAGGAGGACAACAAAGGACAAAAGGATGAGGGAAGAAAAGCAACACAAACACACCAAGGTGGACAAAACAAGGACAAACTGCGATTAAACAACGCCAAAGAACACAAGAGAAAGACAAAACGATGACGTGAGCGGGAGTACAACGGAAATTCGGCGGCATCCGCGGCCAATGAACACTTGAGGAAGAACAACATTCAAGAAGGCAATAGAACATGAAGAGGACATGACCAAAAAGATTGTGACAAGAGGGGAATAGGAGGACATCCAGACAAGTCTCGCCGGCGCGGCCTGGCAGTGTGGCCAGCCTTATTTCGTCGAGAGAGGGAGAGCCGAGGCCGCCACTGCCAAGAACCGACAGCCCGCACAGGCGTTTAACCTACAAGCGTCGAGTTTAGAAATGCCTCGCGTTCTTGAGCCCAAACAGTCACGATCTAGTGTGGGATGAGAATGAGGAACAGCCGCCCACACGCCTCTTGGGTAACCGCCAAAAATCATGTTCAGGCGCAATACGCGAAACCCCCCAATACGCGAAACCTCCCATTCAGGCCTTGGGCCCTGTTGATATCTCAAGGACACGGCGGCAGCAGCAGCAACAATAACACCACGCACGGCTGCTAAAAAGTCGGAACTCCTTGAGGTCCTTGATAGCGTCGTCCGTCAGCTGCGTGGCAATGACGTTCAGAGCCGCCTCCGAGCGCTCTCCGAAAACGCAACGTCGATGTTTTGTCTCACATGGTGACCACACCACGCGCAACCACTGGAGCAATCCACTTCAAAAAAGTGAACTTCACTGTCTTTCCCTTTCTTGGGCCTTCTTCAGTTTGTTCATCACCGCGAAGCTTTTCAGGTTCTGCACAACTACCTCGCGAAGCAGGTAAGAGGCCAAAGGCAACAAACCTGTAGAAAACAGGAGCACGGGTCATTATTGAGCATTTCTAAACGACAGCCGTTGAGAAATTTAGGGCGCATATATAAATTTTGCTTAGTGACAATTACTATCTAGCTACCTTTATGCACAACTGCTCTTCAGTTTGATCTTTCGGCAGCACTCCTTATTGCACTGCGATGCGTATTTGCGGGGTCAAGTCCACTGCCCTGCTGCCGACTAACATCGCATGGACAGCAACAAGTTGTAGAAAAGACTAACGCAATCAGATTCAATGCTGGCTGGAACAAATACTTCTTGTACCTGAAGTCTATGAAACAAGAAACCTGCAACAATCCCTTTTCCAACTTCTAAGGCAAAAGAATATTGGATTTTTTTTCGTCACCTTACGTTCAAGAACGAACAAACAAAAAATACACACACGTACGTATGCACACACATGCACACATACACATACACACACACATACAGACATACATACACGCACGCACGCACGCGCGCCCATACATACATACATACATACATACATCCATCCATCCATCCATCCATCCATCCATCCATCCATCCATGCATACACGCGTGCATTACTTACAAACACTGCACACACACAGACACGCGCGCGGCCAGCCACACAAACATACATACACAGACATCCACACACACAGAAATACACAAATACAAAAAGCAGCAGCAAGAGGAGGAGGAGGAGCAGCGCCAGCACCAGGAAGTATTACGTAGCAACAGCATCTACGCCTAGCCAAGCACTGGCGCTTGTTGTCGTAGTAGTGACGGTCGTAGTACTTGCAGTAGCAGCAGTAGTGGCAGTTGTAGTAGTACTAATAGTAGTAGTGGTGGAAGTAGTAGTAGTAGTAGTAGTAGTAGTAGTACTAGTTGTAGCACTAGTAGTACTAGTAGTACTAGTAGTACTAGTAGTACTAGTAGTAGTAGTAGCAGTAGTAGTAGTAGTGGTAGTAGTAGTAGTGGTAGTAGTAGTAGTAGTGGTAGTAGTGGTAGTAGTAGTAGTAGTAGTGGTAGTAGTGGTAGTAGTGGTAGGAGTGGTAGTAGCAGTAGCAGTAGCAGTAGCAGCAGCACCAGCAGCAGTAGCAGTAGTAGCAGTAGTAGTAGTAGTAGGAGTAGTGGTAGAGGTAGTAGTGGAGGTAGTAGTAGAGCTAGTAGTAGAAGTGGTAGTGGTCGTGGTAGTAACAGTAGTAGTAGTAGTAGTGGTAGTAGTAGTCGTAGTAGTAGTAGGAGTAGTGGTAGTAGTGGTAGTAGTAGTAGTAGTCGTGGTAGTAGTGGTAGAAGTAGTGGTAGTAGCAGTAGTAGCAGTAGTACTAGTAGTAGTAGTAGTAGAAGTAGTAGTAGTAGTGGCAGCAGTAGCAGAAGTTGTAGTAGTTGCTGTTGTTGTTGTAGTGGTGGTAGTGGTGGTGGTAGTGGAAGCAGTCAGGAGCAGCAACAGTCAATGTAACAAGGGTGCGCCAGAAGCAGCAGCAGCAGCAGCAGCAGTAGTAGTAGTAGTAGTAGGAGTTGCAACCGTACAAATAGCAATCGCGCTATTTGTGGCAGTAGTAGTAGTAGTAGTCGTAGTAGTAGTGGTAGTAGTAGTAGTAGTGGTAGTAGTAGTAGTAGTGGTGGTTAGTCGTAGTTAGTAGTAAGTAGTAGTTAGTAGTTAGTAGTTAATAGTTAGTAGTTGGTAGTAGGTAGTAGTTAGTAGTAGGCAGTAGTTAGTAGTGAGTAGTTAATAGTAGGTGTAGTTGTAGTTGTAATTGTAGTAGTAGTAGTAGTAGTAGCAGTAGTAGTAGAAGTAGTAGTAGTAGTAGTTAGCTAGTAGCTAGCGGTAGTTAGTGTAGTAGTAGTAGTCGTCGTAGTTATAGTAGTAGTGGTAGTAGTAGCAGTAGTAGTAGTAGTAGTAGTGGTCGTAGTACTACTAGTAGTAATAGTAGTAGTATTAATAGTAGTAGTAGTAGTAGTAGTCGTAGTGGTAGTGGTAGTGGTAGTAGTAGTAGCAGCAGTAGCAGTAATAGCAGTAACAGTGGTAGTAGTAGAGGTAGTAGTGGTAGGTAGTAGGTAGCAAGTAGTAGGTAGGTAGTAGGTAGGTAGTAGGTAGGTAGTAGGTAAGTAGTAAGTAGTAGGTATAGGTAGCATAGGTAATAGGTATAGGTAGTAGGTAGGTAGTAGGTAGTAGGTAGTAGGTAGTAGGTTGTAGGTTGTAGGTTGTTGGTTTAGTAGTAGTAGTAGTAGTAGTAGTAGCAGTAGTAGTCATAGTAGTAGTAGTAGCAGTAGTAGTCATAGTAGTAGTAGTGTGGTAGTAGTAGTAGTAGTGGTAGTAGTAGTAGTAGTAGTAGTGGTTGTAGTAGTAGCGGTAGTAGTAGTAGAAGTAGTAGTACCGGTAGTAGTAGTAGTAGTAGTAGTAGTAGAAGAAGAAGAAAGACTTCCTCGTTGGCCCGTTTGTGCACTGCCTGGTAGTAGTAGTAGTAGTAGTAGTAGTATAGTAGTAGTAGTAGTAGTAGTAGTAGTAGTAGTAGTTGTAGTTGTTGTTGTTGTAGCAGTAGCAGTAGCAGTAGCAGTAGCAGAAGCAGAAACAGCAGTAGTAGTAGTAGTAGGAGTAGGAAGTGGAAGGTGGAAGGTAGTAGGTAGTAGGTAGTAGGGAGTAGGGAGTAGGTGGTAGTAGTAGTAGTAGTAGTAGTGTAGGACTAGTAAGTGGAAGGTGGAAGGTAATATAGGTAGTAGGTACTAGGTAGTAGGTACTAGGTAGTAGGTAGTAGGTAGTAGGGATTATGGAGTAGGTAGTAGTAGTAGAAGAAGTAGTGGTAGTAGTGGTAGTAGTGGTAGTAGTAGTGGTAGCGGTAGTGGTAGTAGTGGTAGTAGTACTAATAGCAGTAGTAGTACTAGCAGCAGTGGTAACAACAGTAGTAGTACTAGTAGTACTAGTCGTCCGGTAGTAATAGGAGAAGCAGCACTGCTACTACCACTACCACTACCACTACTACTACTACCACTACTACTACTACCACTACTACTACTACTTCTACTACTACTGCTACTACTACTACTACTACTACTACGACTACCACTACCACTACCACTACCACTACCACTATACCACCACCACCCCACCACTACCACTACCACTACCACTCCACTAACACTACCACTACCGCTACCACTACCACTACCACTACCACTACTACTACTACTACTCCTACTCCTACTACTACTACGACGACGACGACGACGACGATGACGACTACCACTACCACTACCACTACCACTACCACTACCACTACCACTACCACTACCACTACCACTATACCACCACCACCCCACCACGACCACTACCACTACCACTACCACTACCACTACCACTACTACTACTACTACCACTACTACCACTACTACTACTACTACTACTTCTACTACTACTACTACTGCTACCACTACCACTACCACTACTACTACTACCACTTCTACCTACTACTACTAATACTACTACTACTACTACTACTTCTACTACTACTACTACTACTACTGCTAACTACTAGCAGTAGTCGTCGTAACATTCATCCTCATTGTCGCTACGGCGGCGGTACTAATAGTAGTCGTCGACCTGGTCAACGTCGTCGTCGTCGTAGTCATCGTCGTCGCTGTTTGCTTTTCCCAGTCTGACACAGATTCCACAGTGAGACCACCGCACTTGAAGGCATTTTTTGCCCAAAGAAAAGAGCGTATTTGTTTTGAAGGTTATGAGCCCAACGTGTGGCCCCCAGCGGGTAGCGTCCGGGCCATGGATCGCGCTAGGTCGCTGCCCCTGCTGGAGGCAAATCCGTGGTGGTCGGATAAGCTGAAGGCGGAGTTGAATGGAGGACGGCCTGGTGATCGGGCACACGCTGATCGGGCCTCTAAGATGGAGCGTGAGATTGAGGAGCTCCGCCACTCAGTGGCCTACATGAAAGAGAATGTCCCAGGGCTTGCCACTTCATGCTCTCATGAGGTTCCCTTCAAGGTCACGACCTTGACATGACGGCGCACGCCATCCTGATCCAGGGCGTGGTTACCAAGATAAAATGTGCGGCCGGCGCAATTGGATCCTATGAGATCGTCTTTGAACGGCGGTGTGAGCCTGGGTCCGGGGCTTGAATGGCCGTCAGCGCGCAGATGGTGGGTCATCCATTGCTGCTCCGCCTCCCTGAGGTGACAGCAGCGGCGAGTGATGCATCGGCTTTGGAACTGGGCGATGGGCTTGCAGTTTGGCCAGTTCTTCGAGATCTTTCGGCCGCCTCGGCTTGTTGGTGGAACCTGACGTCGCGGGACGCATCGCCACTGGAAGACGGCATCGCCGCTGGAGTGAGTTCAGCTGGATCCTCAGCAGCCGGACGAGCTCTTTGACGTTCGGTACCAGCGCACAGCAAAGGGGGGTGAATCTTGCTCAAAGGCCATCCCGACGGATCAAGAGCAGGAGCTGATTACTGCTCCTGGGCCCACCTCGACGGCTTTGTTGTTCAGGCTCTTGGCGCGCTACCAGCCTGGCGGCGCTGGCTGGATTTGATCGAATGGGAACGAGCTTGCCAACACAGGTCACCTTGGCCGACGGCGTCTCCAACAAGCTGGCCATGTTCAGCAGTGGTTGCGCGCTCATCGAGATTCGTTTGATGTTCACGCTCTGAATGATGCTGAGTTGTTTTGTGGGGGAGGTGCCTAACAGCCGGCGCAGTGGCTCAAGCCCGACGGCCTCATTGAAAAAGATCATGCCCAAGGGGAGCTCCAATCACCAAGGACCAGCTTCTTCGCTCGGCGCAAGCGAACTTGGCGCAGTATGTGATGGGGCACGTGGACATCACCAACCTTGAGCAGGGCTGGTATATGGGGCCGTTGCGCCAGGCCATCGTGAACAAGGTTGAAGCAGAGGAGCAACTTGCAGAACAGCCAGGAGCAGGAGATTTTGCGCCACAAAGACTTGGAGGAAGAATTTCTGGTCACAAAGTTTGACTGTTTGCACAAAAGAGGTAATGGATGATTTCGAGAACTGGATCAGCAGGATACAGCTCGTCCACACCAAGGAAGTGGCGCAGCAGATCACCAAGAACGCCTTGCGCACCCGCGCGGAGAAGGCCATGATCTTTACACGGAAGGCCGGGGCTGGGGTTCGGCGGGCCAGGGCTGTTTGCTGTGGCAACTACTCGGAGTCGAGGTTTAGCGCTGACTGCTACGCTGGAGGCGCTGATGGCTGTCAGGTGAGAGCTTTGGTTCGCGCGGAAGACGGGAGGACGGAAAGCTTGTGGCCATGGAGATCCGCGCCGTCTAGAAAAGACTTGACCTCGCTCGAGAAGGAGATGTTTGGTTGGTGCGCCTGGCCATGTGCCGCTTGATGACATCACTGGTCACGATTGGTGAGCATGGCACGCTGACTGCTGCGCTCAGCTCCTTGCAGCTTGGGGAATGGGTTTCCTCCCACAAGATCCGGTGCATTTTTGTGGCTTCGAGATCATGGTCGACGAAGGTGGGGATGGGTTCCATCTATCGCAGCAGAAGTATCAATGAGCAGGAGATCTTGGCCAGGTGGAAGGTGACTGTTCACTGCGTATCCTCACTTCAAGATGAAGGGCAAGGAGAGGTGGACAGGAATCAAGTCCGCGAAGCACAAGCATTGGCAAGGTCCCTCTTCTGGCTCTCAACGAGGTCAAAACCCGACCTTGCTTTCGGGGTTGCTGCCGTCAGCCGACTCATGACAAAGAACCCGAAGAAGGTGATCGAAGTTGCTCAGGCACTGCTCTCCTACATCAAGGGGACTCCTGGCGACCTCCACTACACCGGGAAGGTTCATAGCATATGGGGAGCGCGCGGAACGCGAAAAGGTGATAGAGGTTTTCGCTGACATCGCCTATGGCACGGGCTCAGGTCATCGAAGTGTGCAAGGTCTGGCGATTTACGTCGCTGGCCGACATCCTCGAGCGCGAAGTGCTGAAGGCACTACTTCCAGGAAGAGCCCACCTCGGCGACGATCGGGCTCTGCAAGCCGCTCTTTATCCCGTCCAAGGTTGCCAAGATCGAAGAGCGATGTGGCTGAAGCGGCAAAAAGTGCTGTCGGAGAAGCTGCTGAAGCGCTCATCTCGCTGCCCGCGCTGAGAGAGCATCGATGATCCTCCACGAAGCAGTGAGTGGACCTTTGGCAGCGCCTCCTCCTGTGAGACGCACTGGTGAGACGCCTGTAAACCCTTGGAATAGATTCCAACAGCTGCACGCTGGCAAGGGTTCGACGATGGATAGTATGAGGGCGGAGTACTTCAAAGGCAAAATGCCACCGTACATTGCCTTGAGCCACGGCATTTTGCTGGCTACTTTTCTTTCAGGAGTTTCGCCAATGAAGGCGAAAGGGGAGTCTGACACAGATTCCACGGTGAGACCACCGCACTTGAAGGCATTTTTTGTCCAAGAAAAAGAGCGTGTTTGTTTTGAGCCAAGAAAAACTTTTTGCGCAGAAGGTTGAAAATCTGGGAAGCCAACCCTTTGAAAACTCCTACAGCACCACAAGCTTAAATTGGTTGCCATTTTTTGGAAAGCGGTTTTAGTGACCTGCGAGCCAACCTTCTTGCCAAACCCAGAACACACCTGCCTGCGAGGCTTGCGTCAAGTCGTGCGACCTCAGCTCGCAAGCGTTTGAAAAGCAGGAAAGAATAACAACAGGCTAACATGCAATCACTGCCTTTTTTGCGTGGTCTTGGCTTGATTAGCTTCTTTCCGTAACGCTGCCACTGGCCCGTTCCGTCTGACAGATGTCGGAATGGTGACTGAGGTTCCCTGCGCATGCTGCTTTGTAAGCCAAGCTTCTTTCAAAGCTGAATCTGCAGTGACCCGTTGACTTGGGTCCTTCATTAGGAGCACCTGAAGGGAGGCACTTGCTGACACTAAACGATGGATGACTTGCTCCAAAAGGTGACAGCCATAATTATGCCAGCGTAGACCCCAGATAGCAAAAGATACTTGTGGGAAGCAACAGCACTCATCTGACAGCACACCCCCTGCGGCAGCGGCACTGCTCCAAAGCGCACAGGGCCATGGACCCAAGCTCCAAAAGGCACACGGCCAAGGACATCTCGCAGCAGCACTCTGCAGTGGCCCTGCAGCTGCAGCTGCACCAGCACCCAAGCTCCAAAATGCACATGGCCATGGACATCTGGCAGTAGCACCCTGGATCGGCACCTCGCAGCGGCACCACCCAGGCTCCAAAGTGCACACAGCTAGCGCCCAGCAGTGGCACCCAGCACTCAGGCCCCAAAGCGCACACAAGCACCTCTTCCTAGTTACTTAAGTAAAACCCCAATTCTCGCTATCTGCGGAAAATTGCCCTTCGGACACCTTCAGCATATCCATCGCTTCCTTTGAAATGGCAGACCACTCCTGACGGCGCGTGCGCAAACGGTGCCAGGCGATGTTCTGACAGTCCACTCAAATTGGCAAACTGAACCGTCGAAGACCGTGAATTAAGACACAAGACCAAAGCATAGCTGTCCACCCCTTTGCCTTGGTTCCCATGATCGTTCAACCCTTCCAACAAAAAACACCGCCACCGTCATCATCGTCACCCCACCTTCTGATCGAAGGAGAGGTCCGCCTGTCTCACCGAGTCTAGGACCGCCATGGTGTCCGCACCCGAGAAGGGAGGCGAGCCACTCAGCAAAATGTACCTCAGCAAAATGAGCCAAGAAGAAGAAGAAGAAGAACCTCAAGGATCGTCAAGGTACTCAGGAGACCAATGTAGACTGCCAGAAATACCAAATAAGCCTCTTCTCGGATCATCAAGTCAACAAACCACTCCCCCCTCCACCCCAAGTGAGACCTTCGCTCGAACTGACGGAGACAACCTGACGGACCCAACCCCTCCAAACGTCAGTGGCGGCACATGATCACACCGATGCTCCAAACGTCGCTGAGCTCGTTGTAACGCCCTGAAAGCACCTGGGAAAGGTCTGGGGGATGAGGTGAACACGGTGTTCACTGTGTTCACAAATGCTTCGCACTAAGAAGCGACCAAAGTGTGAAGGTGAGGTTTGTTGGAGCAGCACAAAATGGGATTGAGCACACTCCTTTTCATAGAGAAGGGAATCTCAATGGCCCTTCTATGTCTCCATTCTAGTGTCAGCAAACAAAAATCCGAAAGTGATCAATAACATCTGCCGCAAAATGGCCGAAAATTGGTGCACTTCTTGTGACCGTGATGTGAATGGATTAAACCCCTCCAAAGCCAACGCTCCGCGGACTCCGCGCACAACATCCCTTGCGCCGACGACCAACCCCAGCAAAGGGTACAATCCGCCGGAGTCCACCAGCCTCAGGGGCCACGTAGTAGGGAGTTCCTGCCTGCGGAGATGGCGAGACAGCGACCCCGAAAGCACCTTCCTTCCTTCCTTCCTTCCTTCCTTGCTTCCTGCCTGCCTGCCTGCCTGCCTGCCTGCCTTCCTTCGTTCCAAAGTCTGCAGTTGGGCTTTTCTGTCCAAAGCACAAGCTGCACCGTGCGCCGCCCTCGCCCACCCTCCCTCACCTTGGTCTTGGCGAAGTCTCCCGGACTGAAGCGCTTGGAGAGGCCAAAGTCAATCAACTTCAAGTAGGTCTTCTCGATAGCCTCCTGAGGTCCCGGGATGGACTTTGGAGTTTCTTCATGGGTTCTTCCAATCTTCTGATCGAAACAAGAATGAAATTTTGTCTGAGCTGACACTGATCGCTTCGCCTTACTCAATGATGAAACAAGACATTGCTGCTAGCAAACCCACCCAGTCACAAGGAGTGAATTTCATCATGCGCACAACCTCCAACAGGGTGTTTCTCCAAGCATCTGTCTCTGCCAAGAGCCAGTTCTCAGGCTTCAAGTCGCCTCCGATTCTCGGACGAAAGGATCAAAAAGTGTTGGTATTATCTTTGCTTCTTTTCAGAATGCGTTTGTCCTATTCACTTCAAGCCACCGGCTTCGTTTAGAGTATATAACTGGTCTTTGTGGATCTTTGTAGAGCCGGGGCACGGAGATGGCACAAACGCTCTAAGGGATGGACGGTGCATGATGCCATTGATGTGCATGTAGTTCACAGCCCGCAGCATCTGCTGCACACAGAAAGCTGCCACCTGCGGTCAAAAAAACTGCTCAAAAACCGGCCGCGATTCCATGGATGGCTCTCAGAATGAGAGGTTGAACATCATGAATATGTACAATGAACTGATACATAAGACATGATGTGACACATCCAAACATCGTGAAGCCCCCCAAGCATGGAACCTCCAGGCCCCTTCCCAAAACACTGGGCCATCTGTGGGCCATCGGTGAGCCATTGTGGGCCCCTCTCTCCTGCCTGCTCGGTGAACTTCCCATCGGCCACGATGCGATCGAAGAGCTCTCCTCCAGAGCAAAGCTCCAACCTTGGAGGCCGAGCGGAGCGAGCGGAGTGGTGGAGGGACGGGAAGGGGGAGAGGGTAAAAGGTGTGCATAGGGAGACCTCCCCGATCGACCTTCTGGAAGAAGGGACATACACCAAAACCATCCAAAACCCGTTGGGGGTCTCCTGGTCTCCTTTAAAACGCCGAAAAAGCCCAAGGATGGATTCAGAACACCGAAAAAACATCCACCCCTCTAGCATCACACCGCTTTTGGGCCGGGAACAGGAGCGGCTCGGAACATGGTGCTTTGCACCAGTGGAACAGGTTAGAAGCACAGCAAGATACTTCCCTCAAAGCATCTCAAACTCTACAATAGCGCCTCAGGTGGGCAGCTCTTGAAATCCGGAGACATCATGCATAATCTATTCCTTCTCATCCATCACCTCCTTCTCCTCCTTCTCCTCCTTGTCCTCTCGCTTCTTTTTGCCCCTCCGTTTCTGACGCCGAAGGTGTTCGTTGTGGCAGAAAGTACAGTCTTCTCCTCGGTTGCATCCAGACAAGGAATAGCAAAAGAAAGAACAGGGCGTGCATCCATCAGGATGTAACCGGCTGCCAACACTTAAGGGCGTCTCTGCAGAGTCTGAGGCTTCTTTCTCTCTCTTCGCCGTCTTTCCAAAGGCATCCAGCCACTCTGTATGATCCTTGAGGATTTTCCCAGACTCGGAGTCAATGGTCATACCTTGCAGCATTGAATCGGATGCGGCCCGGCGCAAAGACCCTTCATCCTCCTCTTCCACCTGGGAGTGGTCGGAGTGGTCAGACGGTCATGGATGCCAAAACCCGATGCATCGTGGACAAGGACGGCTGGAACCCAAGTAACCGATGGTTCCATCGCACTGATTGTTGACATGGAATTGATGACATGGACACACAGCATTGACCAAACAAAACACGATTTGGTCCTGCCTCGAGGAAGGTATTCTTGGTGAGAACTGCTGGGCTTTGCGTCTCCAGCGCTACAAAGGAGGATGGATCCTTGCCCTCAGCCTGCAGCCAGCTCAAATTGAAGGGCACCTGCAGGCGAGATAGAGCATCTTGCTGCACTTCCATGATGGTCTTCACAATGGTGTCTAACTGTCTGCGGACGACTTCCTGTACGTCTCCTTTCCGGTCGCCGGACGAGTGCGTCATGTCCACTTGTATGCCCAGCAAATAGAAGGTCGAGCCGACCCGCAAGGAATTGATGCAAACCAGGTTGAGAAAGACTTCGCCATTCTTCTTGCGATTCTGCAGGAGCCCAGAGAAGCTTTTGCCTGTTCGAGCAGATGCCTTAGGAGACGACCCGAAGGAACGACAGGTTCCGCGGCGGGTACGCGGCGGGTTTTGCGAGTTCCAAATACTTCCTTCGGTGACTTCGGGGACTGTAGCAGGTTCCGCAAACAAAACACCTAGGATTCCTGGCCCAGCATTTTTAATGGTTCGAATCCCGAACAAACATTCTTTCACTGAGAACTTTGCACTACAACACCAGGTCAACCAATTGCTTGAATTGTCTTGGAAGGCTAGGGCATAGACTGATAGACTTGACTTGCCAGGTCCTTCGATTCTGGCTCCAGGGCTGTGCAAAGAAACTCTTGGTCCAAGAGGCTCTTAGCTTCAACCTGTCCTCCTGGGGAATGGCACATCCACGATTCAGGAATCGGCAATTGCGGCCAAGCACTTCATGCTTGAGGTAGCCAGACAAGGTTTGAAATCCCTTGCTCACCCCAATGAGAGGGCAATCGAACTCTTGTGGCTGGGCCAGAGTCACTGAGATGGCGGCATCTTGACATCCGCCAACCGCCAAAGCTTCACAGAAGCCAGAGTAATTGCCCTCCCTGCAGGGAAGCCAGAACGGCAAATGACAAGAGCAAAAACTCTCGGACTCCCATCCTTTCACCCCCAGCTCCACCACCAGTCCGCTCGACACGCGCTCGTCCGGTGCCTGAAATGCGCCATGGCCTTGCCGACGCTCCGGCCGTGGCGGCGGAGCTTCTCGTCCCGGTCGCTCCGGTCATCCCAGCGGAGCTCCACGGGATCGGCCACCTCCACAGACATCACCAAACGCCGTCGGGCGGGGGCGGAGCTTCTGCTTCTGGGAGCGGGCGTCCGTCTTTGGGGGCGCAAAGCCGGTGGAAGGCGGGCGTTCTGTGGGCCTTGTTTTGGAGGAAGAAGTGGACTTACAGAGATATGAGATATGGCGCTCTTACCTCATGATGACGAAGTTGAAGGAACACCTTCCCGCCCCCTCTTTCTGTTGATACTTATAGGTATATCATGTTATATTTTCGACTTGATCTCACTTCCCAAGCTCCTTCCCGCATCTGTGCTCCAAAAGACGGCCGCGCGTGGTCGAACAACCGGCTTCGACGGTGGTTTCGCCCAGCCAAGCCCAGCCCTCTCAGACATCTGGTGGGTCCAAACCCTGACAATGTCCAAGCCGCCCAAAGGGCACGGGGGTTCTTCCAGACCAACGAGAAGAAAAACACACCAGGTGTCCGAAAACTTCTCTTTTTCGGGACGTCCCAATCCGATGATGGGTCGCGTCCCTCAATCGGACCCTGTCGTTGGGATCTCAACCGACGGAGCATCTTCTTTGTGCTGAAAAGGAGCACCAGGTACACGTTCCGCTCATCATCGAAGGTCTTGGCCGGTGACTAAAAGAGTGAACAGCTAAACTACCAAACACAAGGTGCTGCCAACATGCCTTGGGGATTGGCACCTAGTGACCTACTCCAAATCCTGAGGAAAGTCATCGATTCAGACTGGATCCTGGAGCTTACTGCATGATCCTAGCATCACAATGAACCGTGCACAAGAATCAAGCACGCTCTCTGAACAGAGCTGAACCGCCTCATACAGGCGCACGATGTTCGGATGGTCCAAGAGTTTCATGATTGCCATCTCCTCCTGAAACCTTGGCCCGACTGGAAGGAACTCTTGGTCTCCTCTCTGTTGCTGCAGTTGGTAAGGGACTCAAAGGTGGAGACCAGGCAACAGAGACTGAACAACTCGATGTTTCGGTTGATGTCAAGGTGTTGTTTTGCTTCATAGGCAGGATTGACAGGACTCCTGGACAGTCCATGAACATCGAAGGAGAGAGATGAAAAAATCATGTCACCACACAACGAGTTGGAAGAGATTTCTTGGGTAGGGATGAATGCCACGTTTTTAAAGCTTTAACTGGAAAAAGAGGGTTGCGAAGAGAGAAGGAACTGTATCTCCTACAAACCACACTGACATTTTGTCTGGGGTTAGGGTGTTCAAGTTGCAAAACCATTGGTGACAAAAGGAACGACACTCTGATTTCTTCATTCCACCGTTGTTTGGGCCAATTGCCAACAACACCACCTGATCTGCTGCTTTGCGAGAGTTACTGTCATGAAGCAGAGCCGAGCAACAAAGGTTCTCACACATGTTTTAGTCCTTCATCTGACACTCGTTGCACATGCATCGGCAGGCTGAGGCCGAGGGCTGTTTTGGATCTTTGACAAACTTCTTGTTGATGGTCTTGACCGCCCTCCACTGCCCCGTATCCTCTCCGGCCATCCAAGAAAACTGGGCCACAAAAAAAGATGGCATCTATAGTGGCAGCCTGCATTACTGCTGGCTTCTCACTTTCACTCCTTGTACATGCACTTCTGCACTGATCCATAGGACCCTTCCCCGATGACCTGCAGTTTCGTTCGACTGCGGTCGTGGTCGCCCAAACGACGGTCGGACATGCCAACTGAATCCGGGCGCCAAAACTCCCCACCTTGTGCTCGACCTCGTAAAAGTCCTCCAACTTCCCACGGTTAGATGCCGCAAAGGCCCCAATGGAGAAAGCACCTGCCTTGACTGACAGGTTGGCACGCGCCTGACGTGGGGTCAGTGACAAGGAATGACCACGAAAGTTGACATTGAAAATCAGTGAAGCATCACACATTCTCAAAAACGTCCCTGTTGGCCAAGCTGTGGCAAAGAGCTACCCGGCCTTCCCATGCTCAGCCTCCACAATGGGCGCTTTGGAGACCTGCGGTCTCCGATGCTTTTTCAACAAGGCAAATCCTTCAATCCAAACTCTGAACATCAATCCAGTACTTGTTCAACAAGTGTCTATCACTCAATGCGGAAACATCAAAAACATCGTCCACCCTCTCGACCCCCAAACGAAGCCAAGACCGTTTTTAGCATCATTTGCCACGTCGTTCCTGCACCTCTACTCCAGAGCCTCAGACCTGGGAGTGGTCACGCTTGCGAATCTCCATCTTCTCCTCCTGAAGCAAAAAAAGTCAATGCAATTCCTATCTGAGGAGAGGTCAATGAGCTGTTTCGGGTTTCTCACTTGTTCAAGAGCCGGAAGAACCCCAAATCAACCCATCCACAGCCCAACGAGCGGTGTATTGAGCAACCTCAACAAGCGATTCTGCCCGTGCTTCAACTAGCAAAGAGTCCATCCTTGCAGCAGGCCAGCATGCCTCCCATAGCACCTTAGCAGATGAGAGTTCTTAGTGGTGGCGGTTGATCCAAAGAAAAGCAAATACATTTGCATTTCAATACATGGAACTACTCATGGGGTATTTGGATCTACTCATGGATCAGACATGGATGCATTTGATGAGTCAATGCTCTGTTTCGAAGAGTTGTTTTGGCAAGGAGTCTCACGGAAGACCAACAGAGACAAGGGCCTAAAAAAGTAAAAGTAAAAGGATAGCACCAAAATGACCAGACCAACTCTTCTGGATGGTTACTTTGGCCGACTTGGATGGAACACATGGACCCGGAAACACCAACTCAGTCACTCTGCTTTCTGCGCCACAAATCAAAGGTGTTTGGACATGTTTAAACACGATACTAAAAACCTGTGCTGACTTGGTGCATGAATAACGTCTTTGGATAAACACTCCCCATCCACACTGATAAACTGAAAGAAGCTGAGCTGCCATCGACATACGCAAAGCGTAGTGCCAATATCAAGGGCCATGCCAAACGCGAGACAAAGGAAGGGATTGGAAAAAAATCAAATGTTTGAAACCCCTCGATGCATTTTGCTGAATGTATAACACCAATGAAATTTAAAATGGCCTCCTGAAGAAATCATACGTTCAACACACTGATAAAGTGTTGCCGCTGCAAGGTTTGTTTGCAAGAAGTTGGGGCGAACTCAACATGTGGATTCCACGATATTTGTTTTACAAAAAAGGCCATGGCGGCCATGGCAAGAAACTACCTTTCGTTCAAAGCATCATGCTCAATGCTCAACCACCAAAACGTATGATGTCTGTTTGGTCCATGTCTAAAAATCTGATGGCCTATTGACCAATGCATGTCCTTGCCCAATGACCTCTTGCCAATCGTTCAAAGGACAGTGACTGAGCGTTGTTCCCTAGTTTCGATGTTTTGGGTGGCAACGTAAACCCACCATGGTCGAAATGGTGGTGCGTCTGAAAGCTATGGTTTGGCCATGTCATGTGAGCGCAAAGTGGGCATCGGAGAGCAGTCTAAATAGACAATTGTCCATTACAATTTTGGCGAACATGTGGCCAAGTCAACACGGTGATGATGATGATGATGATCATCATCATCATCATGATAACGAACCCTGTTGATCAAGAGGTCTGATGGCCTATGGTTTCGCATGGTCAAAAACCCCAACGGACACACTTAGCGCAATCATCCCCTGAAGCCTCCGTCTTGTGCAGAAGCCACATGCACCAAACACAATCAACTCAATCAACGCAAGAACTTTTGATGTAGAACAGTCTTATCCTCGACGATTTAACGAAATCCGCCGACCCCACTCGTGGGATGAGGCGTGACTGTTGATGAAGGCTAAGGCTATGATTAAGGCTAAGGCTAATGCTATACTAAGGCTAAGGCTATACCTCCCCTAACCCTCCGGAGCCTTGTTGCAGCGACGAAAAGTAGCCAAGATTTGTGCAAGATGTATGCAAGAGTTGTCCAAGATTTCTCTAAATGTATTGGTTTGCTTCTTACTGGGGATTGGGGCGCCCTCTCCACCTGCGCGGGAAAATAAGCACGGTCCATAAATGGTCCCGGGCTCGAATCCCGGGCTGGTCGCGGCGTGGTCCCTGCCAGTGCCCTTGGTTTTTCCTACATGTTGTAACGTTTTCAGCTGGATTTCTAGGATTTTCAACGGTTTTTGTAAGATTTACTCATGCCTTTTAAACCTTTGGCGAGGGTGTTGTCCAGCATTTTAGACCTTTTGCAAGGGTGTTGTCCAGCATTTCCTCTGGTTTCTCTCGGTACTTGTAAAGGCTCCGTGTTGTTTTTTGGGTTCCCAGATTTGCAGTTGTACTCATGCCTTTCATGCGTTTTGCGAAGGTTTTTACAGGATGCCTGGTTCCTGCCAGCGCCCTTGTTTTTTCCTAGATGTTGTAACGTCACAGGCTCTTCTAAGATTTACTCATGCCTGTCAGGCCGTTTGCGAGGGTGTTTTCTAGCATTTCCTCTGGTGTGTCTAGGTACTTCTTGCTTTACTCATGCCTTTCATGCGTTTTGCGAAGGTTTTTAGAAGGTTTTTACAGGATGCCTGGTTCCTGCCAGCGCCCTTGGTTTTTCCTAGATTTTGTCACGTTTTCCGCTGGGTTTGTATGATTTTCAAAGGCTTTTCCAGCATCTCCTCTGGTTTCTCTAGGTACTTGTACAGGCTCTGTGTTGTTTTTTGGGGTTCCCAGATTTGCAAAGAAAATTGCTAACCTATTTTCTTCCATTGCTGTACTCATGCCTTTCATGCGTTTTGCGTAGGTTTTTACAGGATGCCTGGTTCCTGCCAGTGCCCTTGGTTTTTCCTAGATTTTGTCACGTTTTCCGCTGG